GAAAGAGATTGCCAGCAAGACACCATTGTCAGGTCAGAAGGGATGATTGTACATTTTCTATAGATGGTTTATGTTTAGCATTAAGTATTAATGTTTAGTATGCTTAACATCCCAAAGGAATTTTATTTTTCCCTCTCAGCACCCATTCCCCCCACCCTGCCTGCATTGCCATGGAGCTCACCTCTGCCTCCACCTACCTTTGCAGGTGTGACGTGTCTCCAGGTACTTCATGGTGTTCTCCTCCAGCCTCTCCATACCACTGCGCTACACAGCTCCAGAAACATGGGGGAAAACGAAGACGAGAAGCAGAGCCAGGCCGGGCAGGTTTTTGAGAACTTTGTCCAGGCTTCCACGTGCAAAGGCACCCTCCAGGCCTTCAACATCCTCACACGACACCTGGATCTAGACCCTCTGGACCACAGGAATTTTTATTCCAAGCTCAAGTCCAAGGTGACCACCTGGAAAGCCAAAGCCCTGTGGTACAAACTGGACAAGCGTGGATCCCACAAGGAGTATAAGCGAGGGAAGTCCTGTATGAACACCAAGGTAAGGGAAAACCCTGTGATTTCTTACCCTTGTGGGGCATGCGGGTTGGCTTGCTGGGAGTTTGGGAAGCTGTCGCCATCCTGCCATTCTAAGGTTCTTAATAGGTGTGGGCGTGTGCTAGCATTTTGCTCTGTTGAAGATTTCCTTGGTCTGTACATGCACAGTTTATCCTGGGTGGGAGCCTCTGTCTTACCGTGGTGGCCTCAGCTACTCTTCTTGTGTCCTCTCCATGGCAGAGAGAATAAAGGCATGCTTGGCACTATCCTCCTCCTATTACCACTGCTACTGCTAGTAGCTATGATTTATTGAGCAACTTCTGCGTGCCAGGCACTTTATAAACATGGTCTTAGTGAACACCTCCATGGTCCTTTGGTCCATTTTAGAGCTATGGAAACCGAGAAGTCAATTATCTTGCTCAAGATCACACAACAAGGAGGCAACCTTGGTCTGTCTGATTCTAGAGCTTACGCCCTAAATTCCATTCCCGGGGGAGCCAACATTGTAGAAAGATGCCTTGACTTTAATTGGCTAAGAAATAGGTCTTTGGTCCTTACGGCATTTTCTCCCTCTCTCTTTCCCTTCTTCCCCCCACCCTCTTCCCCAGGATGCATTTCTGTGCTCAGGGTCACACTCGCAGTTAACCCTCCACAAGCTGATTACTTCCCCCACTGTTTGGCCATAGGCAACATTGGTGAACGTGGCCTAAGTAAGCAGGGCATCACATCTCTTCTCTCACTGCGATGCCCATTGCCTAATGGGCAGCCAGAAGTCAAGACTTCCCGCTGGCCCTGGGGGGCTGTCAGCCCCGGGCAGTGGTCCAGACTGTATGTTTAGGTTAAAAGTGAGCTGCTGTATTTAGACCTCACAGGAGGTAGCTCAGCCAGAGCCCTTGGAATTTTAGTTGGTGCCAATCCCAGACAACAGGATTGAACTCTCCATGGCGATCAGGACTGTTGTGTTTTTGTTTTGGTGATGAGGAGCTGTTGAGTGTACTGTGGGATACGGTCGCTTTCCCCTGCCCCTGGGGGGACAGCTGCCAAAGCTCCTCCAAGCCTGGGGCGACTTTATGGGGCATAGGAGGAGCATTCCACCAGGCCAGAACTTCAGCCCAGAGCTCTAGCCATCCAGGCAGTGCCTGCCCATAACCTGCCAAGCTTTAGCCCTTCCTAGCAGAGACAGAAGTGTTAAAGAAAAAGGAGAGAAAGGGGTGCGACCGGTCCCCGAGGTGCTACCCCCACCTAGCTGCTGTAACTTCCCAGCTCCTCTATCACTGGGAAGCTCTTCAGACTTGGAGAGGGGGGTACTGTTTGTTTTCAAAGCATCACTCTTTTCAGTAACAGCATGTGACCGCTTTCTTTTGAAAAGGTCCCATAGAAGTCAGGTGGCCGGGCTGCAAGGTGTTTTCTCAGGAAGGTTTTCAGAGACCTTATTCTATGAGGAAATGCCATGGCCTCCTGCACCCAGCACTTTCTGGCTGTTGAGAGGACTCTCTTGGTGATCCAAGGACAGACCTGCAGAGCGAATGAGCCAGCACCGGGATGTGATGGAGGCTCGACCACCAGGAGATGTGCTTTTTTTCAAAAATCACCAGTCGGTCGGTTGCCTCTCCCTGTCTGGCCAGGCCTTATTTTACAAGCTTTGATGGGTTGAAATAGAAGAGTACTTGTGGACTCTTGGGGTTGGCAGGTCACCACTGGTGCCTGAGCTAACAAAGGGAAAGCACTAACATCTGTAGTTAGCGATGCTGAGTTGAGAGTGCATCTTGCTCAGGAATTTTATGCCTCGTAGGAGGAGTAATAAAGACCTTTCACATGTGTGGTAGCTGATCTCCTAAGAATTACCTAGATCCTGAAGCGTGGAACACATTTGGAAATATGGTCCAAGTACGGCTCTGACTGTGTGAGGTCACTTGCACCACACGCTTGAGAAACCCAGCTCAAAGCTAAACACAAAAGGGAGTCGTTAACTTGTATAAACAAGAAGGTCCAGACAGTCTTTCCTAGCCTCTCTCCTTCCATCTATGTCTTGGACGTTTTGCTCTATGTTGGCTCCATTCTAATATCCTGTGAACAGATTTTCTCCATGTTGGTGGTCTCTAGTTCATATCTTTATAGCTCTATGACCCAAAGGCTAGACTCTCTCTCCTCCTGCTCAATATTGAATAAAATCTCAGGGAAGGATTCTGATTGGGCTGTCCCTGGACCAATTATTGTGCCCAAACCAGGAGAACTGGCTACTGTCTTTGGTAGCCCTTTCAAGCATCACATGCTTGACATGAGGGAGGAGCAGGTTCCCAAGGTCATAGAGGTGTGAGATGGATAAATAACAGGTGTTCTCTACAGGGACTGTTTATGTGCATTCCGGTTATGGTATAGTCTCTCACCATATTGGATTCATGTGCATGGTTAATACTCAGCTCTAAGAGCCTAGAGCTTGTATTGGTGTGAGTCAAACAAAACACAGAACATGGGTCCTCCCTCTCTTCTAACATGAACAGACACTGTCTCACTCACACACCTCTTTTAGGTATCCTTGGGTGTAGTAGTTTATGCTGAGCATTAGCCAAACAAGAAATGCTGGGTATTAGCATGCACGTGGATGACCATTAATGCTAAGACATACAGCACAGGTGTGTCAGGTTATCAGGCACATAGCCAAGCTCCTGGCTAGCCACAGTTAGAGTAGAAATAAATGGAATTCAGCCAGAACCCTCACCTTTCCATTGTTGTGGACATCTCAGCACCATCTGGAGTGGGTCTGGGCTTTAGCATTTCACAAGCATGTGAGTGTGTGTGTGTGAGTGTGTGTGTACGTATATATGCATGCATGTTGGCAGTGGTGGTTGGGGGAGATTGACCAGCATCTGTCTGGAGAAGAAAGCCTCTGGTGGGGGTGCCAGGGGACAGGGAGAAGGACCTACAATGTCATTAGAGCAGTGGCTTAGGTGTCAGTTGCATAATTTAACTTGGGATCATGGTTCATTATTGATTAGTTATGAGGGTTTTGTCAGGCACTTAATAATTCTTTCCTTGGGTGTGACCTGTTTTGCCAAGGATAGAGTGAACCAAGGATCAAGCCAAATTAACTCCTTTAGGACTAATATATTGTCTCTGCATCAGGGTAGGACCCTGATCAAATGTCACATCCAATTGTGTAATGTTCCTCAGGGAAAGCAGCCCAGAAGGAAAACAAAACAAAACAATACAATACAAAGTTTGACATGGGAATTGCCATCATCCGAAATCTGGTCTTTTATTTTATATGTACCTAGTGTCAGAAGGACATATTTTGAGAGGATGTTGTGTACCATCTCTCCATTTGACAGGTGACATAGAGGGTCCCAGGAACCTGAAGCTATTGATCTGAAGCTAGCGGGTGGCTTTATCAGGATTTGGACTCTGTTGATGGGTGTGCTCCAATATGCTTTTTTTCATTCCTTCAGCAGATGTTTCTAGTGTTCTGTGCCTTGCTAGGCACCTGACAGGGGAGGTGGTTTGAAAGAATGAGAAGTGGCTCTGAACAGTTTGTGAGACAGAAACATTGTTTCTGTATTTATTAACTTATTTAATCATTCATGAGGTGAATAATTTTTGAGCAGCTGCTGTGTGCCAGGCACTTGTCTCGGTACCAGTCAGCCACCAACTAGCTCTGTGGCCTTGGGCAGGCTACTTAAATCACTGATCCTCAGTAGTGTTCTCTGTAAAATGAAGATGGTCCCTCTCTCACGGAGTTGCTGTGAGCACTAACTAACGCAATCTTTGTTAAGTATTTAGAACACTGCCTAGTACATCATAAGTGATCAGCAAATGCTTAGCCATTATTTTCATAAATATCCTAAGTGTATGAGACAGGTGCGTACACTGTTTTGCAGAAGTAGAGAAAAGCAATGACTGAGCCTGACTGGAGCAGTCCGAGAATGCTTCCTGGAAGAGAAGGTATGATTTGGAGCTTGACATATGAGAAGAAATTTGCTTGGCCTCACTGAGGGAATGCAAGGCAGAGAGCTATATTCCAGGGAGAGTGTGTTGCTGTGTAAGAGGAATGAAGGTGTGGGTGGGGAGAGGGGAGAGGGTGAGAGCAAGGCAGAGCAGAATAGATGGATGCAGGAGGAGACCCACAAAGAACGGCCTCCCAGGGCCAGGCTGTGAAGAGAGGGTCTCGTAGTCAAACAGAGGACCTGGGGGACCATTGAGGACGAGCCTGGATTCCCGATCCAGGGTTCTTTCTACCAGCCTCCATGGGGTTGCTCAGTGATCACAGATAACCAATGCAGACCAGAAGGGATTTGTACATCATAAAAACATGCATGCAGGAAGTGACTCATGGACTCTTGTCACCAGCAGGAATGGGGCCAGCCTATAAAGTGAAAACTGTTGGGTTATCTCGTGAGGAGGAAATGTCTGTATTTTGTGAGCATCCAGCAGGGTCACTGCATACCTTTTGTTCCTGACGGTGACCCTTGCCCACCTCTGCCTCTGCAGTGGCTCCCAGCGGTGGGTGGCCCAGGCTTGGGGGGTACAAGTGGCTGCTGACCTTCCGAAGCTGAGCACAGCAGGAGGCAGGGAGGTGGGGTAGGGGGCAGCTGACAGGGCAGGCTGCTATCTCCTGGTCTAGATAAGCCTATCTGACATTCCGGACCTCTGAAATCACCCACCACGGCCCTCAAAGCTGGGCTCTGCCCTGCTGGCTGGGGCGCGTCAAGTACCACTCTGCCTAATACGGACAGCGGCAGGCAGCGCTGATAGAGCAGAGGTCGGTCTCCGGGGTATGCATTCCTGCAGGGGGACTCTGGCGGTCTCTGGGGTATGCATTCCTGCAGGGGCCTCTGGCGGTCTCCGGGCTCTGCATTCCTGCAGGGGACTCTGACTTTGTCCGCTTACTTGTACCGGCCTCCCGGCGCTTCTGTGTTCAACAGGTTTCCCAGCCTAGATTACGACAGCTTTGTGTTCATTCCTTGTCACCACTGTCCCCCATGGAGTTGGCGGGCTCAGCGTGAGTGT